TAGTTAGTTATTTGTGCTGGTTTTGGCTGGGGTAGAGTTCATTTTCTTCACAGTAGCTAGGATGGGGCTGTGTTTTTAATTTGTGCTGAAGACAGTGTTGATAGCACAGGGATGTTTTAGTTATAGCTGAGCAGTGCTTACACCGCGTCAAGGCCTTTTCTGCTTCTCTCCCCACCCCACCAGCGAGCAGGCTGGGGGTGCACAAGGAGTTGGGAGGGGACACAGCCGGGACAGCTGACCCCAGCTGACCAAAGGGGTATTCCATACCATATGACGTCATGCTCAGCAATATAAAGCTGGGGGAAGAAGAAGGAAGGGGAGACGTTCAGAGTGATGGCGTTTTCTCTTCCCAAGTAACCGTTAGGCGTGATGGAGCCCTGCTTTCCTGGAGATGGCTGAACACCTGCCTGCCCATGGGAAGGAGTGAATGAATTCCTTGTTTTGCTTTGCTTGCGTGCGTGGCTTTTGCTTTACCTATTAAACTGTCTTTATCTCAACTCATGAGTTTTCTCCCTTTTACTCTTCTGATTCTCTCCCCCATCCCACTGGAGGGGAGTGAGAGAGTGTCTGTGTGGGGCTTAGTTGCCGTCTGGGGTTAAACCACGACATTATTCTTTTTTTTTTTCCCTAGTAGGTGCTTTTTATCTTCCACCCTGAGTATTAGAAATTTAATACTGTCAGATGTTCTGCAGGATCTAGCCCTTGGTTACATTTCAACCAGCAGCTAAACCAAATAAAATTGCAGTACATAATATTAGTAAATGTGTTCATGCATGTGGATGTCTGTCTGTCTTTCTGTGTTTATACATACACTCATATGTATAGTAAGCATGTGTGTCTGTTACACCAGTATCCCCATCAGACTTCAAACCGAGGTGGTTAAACATAGTGGAATCACAGTGGTGGAAAAGGTGCTTTGATGTTTGTGAAAGAGTAGGATGATAAAGGAGAGGGAGAAGGACCCCCAAATTCAGGGTACTCTGCATGAGAGAATTGGATCTTGTTTCGCATTTAATCCTATTCAGTTCTAGCCCTGCTCCCATTTAAAGCAAGGGTGATGTTCACAGTTGTGGGGTTTGGGGAATTTAATGTTTTTTAAGGGTGCCTAGAAAATACTGTAACTGAGTGGGGGAAAAGGAAAAATAGTATCATTTTTTCAAATTGCACAGATACTAAGTTCATAGATAAAGTTAAAAAAACATCGATTGTTGATTTGCTTTGTGACCAACTTAGGTGTTAAATTGCTAATTTCTATTTTGCTCTACGAGGATACTTGCTAATAATGACAGACAATTATATTTTCATGTAAGCTCACATAGTTATGATACCTTAATTAAACATTTGGAAATAAAAGAAGCTGTTGAGCTACGTACAGTTACAGTTGTTACTTGAAATGTTTTTCATGAGATTCACACAGAAATAGGTTTTAAAAATGTCCAAATGCTATCCTTGTATTCGAATAATTGTACCAGTATAGTATGTTGGTGTGAAGTTCCAACACGTTTTTGTCCTGATGGCTTTTCTGGTTATTTTATTTTAGCTGTATAGTTTTTACTTCTTGATCATGAATTTAGTCTCTGTGAAGGCCAAGAGGTGGAAACCCTCTTATTCTAGCAGTACACAGGACTCTCTGCACTGCTGTATCAGGAAATCTCAAGTAACAGTTTTATGATGTATGAGGATATTATTCTCTGCAAGCAATAACACGCATTTCTATTTCCCCAGCAATATCCACATAATCAAACATTCACAAGTGCTTTACAAAGAATTTAATTAAATAGTGTGCAGAGTAAATGGATGCAGCATGCACACAAGCTGTTATACATTCAGTAGTTCACGTTTTGCAGTTAGTGCAGAACACTTTTGAGCAGCAATATGTGTGAATGATATTTCTATCAAAACATGCGTCATCATCCCTCCTTTTGTACCTTGCTCCTTAAAAATTACACTAAAACCTTAACAGATGTCACCTCCAGGAGCACAGGATACCTTCCTTAGTGCTCTAATGGTGTGATAAACAGAGGGAAATACAAATTGTCATGTTGAGACTTGAACATCAAACGTTGTTCCTCTGAAATCAAACATTTATGACTCCCCAGAGAAAGATATATATTATTGTGTCTTTTACCACAAAACTAAGCGTGTTTGGAATTTTATTTAAAGGTAGTAGAAATTTGTGGAGCAATCAAGACCAGCCACTGAAGAATTTCATTTCTAAATTAGCACCAAGACTTGGACATTCAGAGTTCAGAGTTGGACAATGAGAAGCAAAAGGTTTCTCATTTTGTGATAATGAGTATGTTCAGAGTGCGTTCTGTCAGTCACTTGAGCTTAAGAAAGTCTCTTCTTTGGCATTAAAGTGCAGTGCATCAGACTCCGCACTAGAAAAAGGTAGGAGTGTGTTCATATGTTGTATGAACATATGAACATCATACTTCTTAATTCTTCAGTGTTATTGGTATGCTCATGTCACCTGCAAGGATTAGCATTCTGGAAACCAACAGGGTTATCTATTACATTTTGGTTTGTCTGTTCAGAAAAGCCCGTTAAGCATTAGCCGGTGCATGAGAGGAGTTTCCAGGCTTGCAGAGCAACGGGGCTGTGTTGGATGAAAGTGATTTAGAATATCCCTTTGCGGTTGCCTACCTGCAAGGCAGTTAGCTGTCCCTCAGATTGGAAGGTTTTATTGCTATGTCAGTGCTATAAAGTATTGGTATAAGCCAGCAGACCAATACCAATGACACAAGTAGTGAAAGACAGTCTATAATTAGCCTGTAAAGGTGTTTCGTATGAGACCTCACCCTTGTTTTCCAGTTCCACAGAGTTATTCCAGTTTATTACTGGCTGACACTGACAAAATCTGTCCATTATGACTGGCAAGAAAGACCAAAAACTACAAATGAACCCAAAGGAGAGAAACAAAAGGATCAGTTAAAAGTAGGGAACTGTTTTTACTTTCGTGCTAGTTCTATTTTGGTGTCGCTTTGCTTATTTGAGGGGAATTGCTGAAAACTTAATTGGTGTGAATAAGAACAGAGTCTCTCTGTATTCTTCTTCTGCAGATGCTTTTTGGAGGAAAGTTTAATCGCTGTAGGAGAAGCTACGGCTTTCTTTACAGAGTTGAGAATGGGAGAGAGCCCGCTTTAATGTTAATGAAGATTTGCCATTAACTTCAGTGATTTCACCCAGTAGCCTTTGTGTCCTTTTTTTTTTTTCATCCTCATCCCTTCTTTGTATAGCAGACAGGAGTTTTTCATTTTGCATGTCATTTATAACAAATTGCAGTTATTAACAAAAATTTGTACAGTTCGAGCTTCAACTGAAGAAGAAAAGGAAAGCATGTAATTTTGAATTTACTTGCATGTCTAATCTTGAACACCATGTTTTGGATTTTTGCTTTGTTTTCTTTAATTAGGCTCTTGTTCTAGTGTCTGCCTTTATATAAAATATTTATTCTTTACCATTGGTAGTATGTCTCTGTTTGCAATTTGGATATTTTCAGTTTGCTTGTATTTGGAAGTAGCTGCTAGACTCTCTCTGTGCTTCCGCTAGAAGGCTGGTATTTTTATGCTTCTTGCAGCAGGCCCTTTTTGGGAGTGCTGGAATATATCCCAAGTTCTCCGTTCCTGATATTTCAGTGGCAACTTCCTGTGAATCCTGAAGTAGAGCTCCTGCTGTCAGGTTGTTCGCCAAGCCAATTCCACCACACGTATCAGCAAGCCAAAATAGACAAACTTAGGAGATGTGTCAGTGCTGTGATATAATTTAGAGTATTATTTAGAATAAGCAGGTCAGAATTTTTCTTCTTCGGGTTAGGAAGTCAACCCAGAGACCTTTCATCCCACCCAGTGAAGTACCACCTAGGAATACTTGTGTTAACTGTGAATGAACTAGCTTTGGAACCAGAAGTAATACAGCCAAATGAGAGGAGTGTGGCAGCCAGGCTAATTAATTAAGAAGCCAGGCTAATTAGTTTGACTGGAGGGAGCACCATGCTGATGTGACAGTGTAGCTTCCAAAATTCTGGCTGATTTGTACACAGGTTGCACTGGGCTTCTTGTAGATGTACAGGTTGTTTCTGGGCTCTTTCAGATGTTTTTGCCATGAAGCAGCATTGTGTATTTGTTTATTCCCGATGTCAATTTACTGCAATTTTAGATTTATTTCCAGACTGATAATAAATTTTAGTTCCTTCTCAATCTTCCGCAGTATGATTTTTCTAACACATGGGTGGACATTGTAATATTGTCTTGTTCAACCTCATGCCACTGAGAGAAATTCCACACCGCTTTTTTTTTACCTGATGAAGGACCTTCCCATCTTCTTCCTAATATTTGCCACTTACTGAATACAAAACTGAAGTAATACTCCTGAGGTTGTGTATGGCACCATTGTTGCAGCCTGCCGGGCTGAGAGGTGACTGTAAGCAGTCCTGTTCTCAGAGGAAGCATGCTAGCAATAGTGCACAGTGAAAGATGCCTTGTTTTGTAAGAACTGGTGATTCTGAACAGTTTGCCATCTTTCTGGTTGTTATGAAACAGTGTTTCTTCAATGCACCCCTTAATGTCAGTCCTTACATACAGTTTAATGTGTAAGATGTTCATAAAGTAGTCACTTTAATGAAAAGATAAAAAATACTCCTGGTAAAAGTCTGTGTTACTACATTTGCATGGTATAGTAGACATGAGAAGCAGTATCAAACCCAGAAGTAAATCAACAAGGTATAGTAAGCTGGATTCTGTATAGAAAACTTCAATTAGAAATACTAAGTACTGTGTTTAAGCAATAGCATGTTAATCATGTGTGAATGGATAGTGGCATAAGACAAAAAAAGAATATTTTATTAATGTTAAATAACATTACTAGAGAGCTGAAATTAAGTTTGGTTTTTTCATGTGTGTTATTTAAAATGCTTTTAGTGATAATTTATGGCCTTACTTACAATAGCTCTTCAGCATAGTAGCTCCCACAAGGAGTTAACGTGTTTTTTCTATTTCTAGATCTGTTAGCTGTGCCTAAGCATCCATATGCTGCTATGGAGAACTGGGGACTGAGTGTTTTTGTGGAGCAAAGGATACTGCTAGATCCAAGCATTTCTTCTATATCATACCTCCTGGATGTCACCATGGTCATTGTACATGAGCTATGTCATCAGGTACTAAAGGTGTTCAGATATTTGATATTAATGTCAGAAACCATGCATTCCTTTTCAAAACTGCAAATTAATTTGTGTTGATCCCATAGACAGTTGCAACTTTTATTGTAACTGGAGTCCAAATAATACGGACATCTGTAAGACACGTCACTACAGTGCAGAAACTGGGAAGACTCAAGATGGGGATAGAAGAGAAAATTAGTAGCAAGCAACAACTTCCCTGTCTTCTGTCTGATTATATTCTGTATGTTTGTGTGTGAGTGTGTTGTTGGTGTGTAGACTAAACATGTTGATAATTGTAGAAAATGATCTATTGCAGAACTATAGCAGATTCATGCTGAGTTTCATGTTCACGTCAAAAAATGTGTTGGCTGAAATCAGTTTGGTAGTCATCTTCTTCCGTCACATATACACATACTTCCATTTTCTTTTTCTTTTAAATTTTTTTTTAATTTGGTATTGACCCTCTGTTCACTGATGGTGGATAATCGAGTCTCTATGTGTACAGAAACTTTTGTATCAGTAAGAAAACCTTGTAATAAACCCATATTACAGTTTAATTTACATTTCTTCCATCTTCTTATCTCAAACTAAACACATTACAAGTGTTGAGTAATATTGAGTTGAATGCAAATGTTATTTAAGAAATTTGCTACAGGGGCAGGAAACCCTTTCTTGCACTCATAAGAGTCATAATCATAGCCTTGAGGTTAAAATGAATGAAATCCTACTGTGTAATCAGCATGGCTTACATCTGTGACTTTACACAGTATTCTTTAAAAGGGAATGCAAATCCTTAACATTTTCTACAAATAAAAAGTACCATATAAAAGGGAGCCTTTGTAATGAAGTTCTGGTAGATGAACCTGGAAGTAATAATGTTTGGTTCATATTCATGTTTCACATTAAATCTGTCAATGAAGTCCTCAACTACAACATGAAATTTTTATTGAAAGTTATTGCTGGTTTGTTCTCAGTATGATCATCTGATTTTGTTATATGCTCTTTATTGTGCAGTACAATAAGTAGCATGCTGTTCAGCTAGAAAAATTACAGTGCCTTAGGAATCAGGTGTGGAAAACACATATTAGGTCATCAAATCCTGGCTCCTGTTAGTATTAGATTCTTCAGTGTGGTGCATTTTGTAGTGCCGGGTTCAGTGCTCCTGATTACAGTGTTATGCCACTTCCCTTAAAACCTTTTGATTAAATCTGATGGTCAATAACTTTTTCCTAGCGTTCAGCTTAAGTCTTCCTTTTTCTGAAGTCATTCCATTACTTCCAGTTATTCTTTGCACCACTTTAATAATTTCCTCTGCTTCCAAAGCAATTTATACTTCAGATGTGGGCAATTATCACATCAGTAACTTGCCAAGTTTGTGTATTTGATTCTCATTGAAACCGAAGCCTTTTTAAATTGTTCTGGGAATATCAGAGGATCATGAAGCGGGTGAAAATTATATTTGAATTTATTTTAGGGTAGCAATGCAGTCATAGAGTGCTTTTAAGTGACCTTAAAATTGCAAATCAGAAGGTTTACTTGGTGTCCGTGTTGATATGACTTCCAGTGCTGTTCGCTTAATTAAACGTATCTTCCTCCATTCATGTTGCTGCAGTTTCTGTTTTAGTACCATGCAGATCAGGTCCTTGCTCAGCTGCTTCACTGGATAACTAGACAAGATAGAAAATATTCAGGTGGAAGAAATATTATTTCTACTTTTTAGATGCAGAATTGAGTCACAGAGAATATGGATTGTTCATCTGCAAATAAAGATTAAGGAGAGAAACCCTCCAAAAATACAAGCCACAAAACACTGTCTAGCACCTCCATCACAGTATTGTCTTTATTTAGCCGTTTTCTTCTGCTTTTATCTTACCATAGTCAGGAGCCCCTCAAGGAAACTTTAGCTGTGGATAGCATAGAGCAGGAACTGTAAACAATACTAGTTTAGCTGAAAGTGTATTGAACTGAGACCAGGTTGGGTCCAGGATCTCTTGCCTCTGCTATTTAATTGTTAATTATTCACTGCATTTTTCATCCTCTTTTGCTGTGCGTCATCTCACCTGCTAACCTGGGGTGACACATGAATATTCCTCCCCTTTACTCATTTTTACACACAGAATAACAGAGATTAACCAAAATCACTTCTGGCGCAGCCAAAAGTAGAATCCACATCTCCAGCTTTACTTTTTATTTATCGATTTTTTTAAATTTCAGGTAAGAGGAAAGGGAACTCTCCTAAAATACGTTTTCCTAAAATACATTTTTTTCTTTTTCTAAAGAATTGTATCATTGTTCTATTTCCCCTGATTTTAAACCCGTGACTTTAAGACTTACAGAACATATCTGACCGTGTAGCAAACTGACCTGTATGAGACCCTTATTACTTAGAGTAACACAGCAATTGCTTTGCTAATGTTGTTCCCAAGATTATAAAAATCAGATGAATATAAAGAATTTCGATTGTTACCTTTAGATATGACTGTTTAAAATCGGAATTCCCAAACCTGCTGGGTATTAACGCTTGGGCACAGTGTTCAGGACAGATGGAAAATGAGAAACAGAATTGCAGAAGGTGGTTGTCAAAATACAGGTAAAAAGAGTGTAAGAAAGAATTTTATGCCCAATTTCTTCACAGGTGACTTTGTAATGCTTGACCAGATATTTATTTCAGGTACATGTTTTAGGAGGGACACATTAAAGTTACATGGGTAGCTTTATTTTCATTTTGTAGGTTGCTGGTGCTTGATATTTCTGCTTGAGTGTTCTTTTAGAACATTTTATATATTTAGTTAAAAAAATTTATAATTGGATGATGGAATGTATTGGCATAAAAGCTTCTCCTCCAAGCCCCAAAACACGAATGAGATATCGGTCAAAACACATATTTCTAGCAGCTTAACTTGATAGCTCGAAATAATTACCATAATTTATTGAAATAATTCTGTTAAGGTAGTAATCAGTTTTAGTTGCATATCACAGATCAGTCCCACCTACAGCCTTTGAAGAAAGATTCATTTGAATTTATGCACCGTGATTTTTTCTGATAGTTTTCCCACCTGAGCACAAAACTTGGTGTGACAGATTGAGTTAAAGAGGCATGAAAGCAGAAAGAAAATTAAAAATTCCTAAATCAATTTTTTTTAATAATCTGTAAAGCAAGCATAAAGGATTAGAGTGTCCTTTCAATGTGTTTGTAAAATAAGTGCCTTCTGCATGTCAGGCTGAACATAATCCTGAGGGAGATGAGAAATTTATGTAATCAATACATTTCAATTCATTTTTCTTTTCCAAAATGAAAAGAAGTAATGATCTTCACTCCAGGCAAATAGTGTCTATGGTCAAATACACAAATAAGTAAATAAACAATTACTCACATAAATGAAGTGCTTTACTGAATGTTTTCCTTTCATACATGTAACACCTAGGAAGGTGATAGCACCTTTCTGCTGGAGAATTTGGCTTCTTTAATTGCAGTCTCTGGGACTGCTCTGTCTCTGACATTCATAACTATCTCTGATACTATTCAAGACTAGTCAAGCAAATTCCCTACATTTTCATATTGGTATCACATGCTGTTTTACACAGCCTGTAAAACACTTCTTCCTTTAGGTGGATAATTAAACAAATACTTTTAATTGTATCATTAATAAATAAACCTGGAAAACTCACAAAGGAGTATAAGAAATTCTCTTTTGTGGCATCATAAATTAATGTTATTAATTCTTTTGAGTTAACAGGAGGATGTATTATGAACTTTACAACCTTTATTTTTTTAAATCTCTCTCTGAATAGTCGTAGCATACCATGACTGTTACTGGTTTCATATTTGTTCAGCAGTCCTCTTGTAATTCAAGAAATAATCTCTCTGCTATTGTGTTTAGTCTCTGTCATTAGAAATCATTCAATCAACCTATTCTAGTATAAATATAACTTCCATACTCCTCTGGTGGTATGCTACTCTAACATTTCAAATTGTGAAAAGTGCATTATCTATATGAATGCATTTCTAGTGTTTCTTTGTCTTTTCAGTTAAATGTTCTTAAGATCAGGATCTATCTCTATTGGTCCTGTAGAGAGTTAATTTATTGATAGCCTTCAACTAGATTATGATCACCGAGTGTCCATTAAGTTTGGTTTCACTTAGTGTGTGTATATGACTTTTGTCAACCTCATCTTTTCTCCCTAAATTCTTAAGTTAGTTGTCAATGACATTCATTGTCACGTTCCGCTTAATTTTTTTGTTCAAATCCTATTTACTGAGCATTGTGTGGCAATCTGGTGATCTCAGTTTCTGTAGTCTGTTCTTTGGAGCCCCTGTGTTCACTTCACTACAGATCCTCGTCACAGCATTGATCCTTCCTTGGTGCTATTCTCACTCCACAAAGACATGCACAGAAGCGAGACCTTTCATTCAGGTCCCAGACAAAGCCTTCAAATAAGCCAACTGTCATGAAAGCAAACCGCTCACTGGCTAACTCTGCTTTCATTTGTTCCCCACTCTCATTACAGTGTCAGCAGCAGCTCCTCTGCTCTGACATGAGTCTCTCCCTCTGGAATACTTATTTGCTGCTCCCTTTCTGTGTATTTTCAGAGGTTACTACTCCATGAAAGCTCAAAATTATCTGTGCTGATTATGCATTAATCTCATTTCTTATCACATTAAGAAAAAAACTGGCAGAGAATTTTACTGAAATAAAGTTTTGGTATTTGTTTGGCAAAAAAGGTGCTACGGAGAGTATGAAATATGTTTTCATAATAGTGTATGTGTTTCTGCTCTTACCTCTGGTGTAAGGATGATCCAGGTTGCACAGGGCCATTACAATCGTTTAAACAGGGTCATCCATCAGCAGAAGAATTGATGATGCCTGATTTCCTTTGAATTTTTGTCCTCATTCCTCTTCCAATGATCATCCCAGCTCTGTCTAAAATTCCTCTGACACCCACACATCCTGTACCGTTACAGGTTTGTGGCTGTTGACGGCTACTGAGCAGAGTATCTAATGGCCGCATTCTTGCCTTGCCTTCAGTTTAGGTCCTTCGCCTCTTTTCAGCTGCTTATCTTCATGTACTTTTGTAGGAGTTCAATGATCTTTGAGATCTCTCTCCTTCCTTCTAAATTAGATGGAAGTCAGTGGGGGAAATTCAAGAGCGACCTGGGGGAAACGGGAAAGGCAGTCAGCTCAGTAGGGTTCTTTTGCATAAACGTAGGTGGCTGGTGCCGTTTTAGATACCTTCTGCCTCTGGTTGCTGTTCGGGAAGGCTGCAGATCTCCTGTAAGTCCTGTATGAAATTTCCTAGGCCTATGTGGGTATCTCAGATACCCTAGGATGTTCTTCAAGTGGCATCAGCTACCTGCTCTTAGGCATCTGAGTCCTACCCACAGAGAGATGGTATGACTGTATAAAACAGCTTTCCTTAGGAAACCGGCCAATGAATGGAGCATCAGTAGTATTGTAAATCTTAGTGGGCAGACATCGTGGAGGAAGAAATGCTAAAATTTCGGTCTGGGGTATGGAGATTGTGTTCCCAATTTTTCAAGATTTGCACTATACATAGTGAAGTTTCCAGGTAATGAGTCAGATTACTCAAGTTCGAAGCCTTTCTCTGTCCATTGTGTATGTTAGTCCCTTAAACCTAGGTGAGCATCTACTTTAGATAACTAGACACTGTAAATACATCCTCAATGCTTCTTTTGCCCTGCTTGTTCTTTTCTAATGTTTTACTTCAGTAACTTGTGCATCCTGTAAAGGCTTAATTCATTAGTACATGAAAAATACAGTTAATGAGTTTCAGTGGGTGGTATATACTACTGTTTTTATTAAAACTTGCGAAGAAAGTGTTCTGTATAAATGAGATGTATGCAAATATGGCTTCCTAAAGGTTGTTTATTTGAACTTTCTTTGCAGTGGTTTGGTGACCTTGTGACTCCAGTTTGGTGGGAGGATGTGTGGTTGAAAGAAGGTTTTGCTCACTATTTTGAATTTGTCGGGACAGACTACCTCTACCCAGGGTGGAACATGGTAAGTCAGTTTTATTTTGTTAATTTGGAGACTCCCAGAAAAGTTACTCTGCTGTTATACTCTGGCTTTAGTTATAGACAGGGACTGCTGAAAAATACCAAATGATGCATGCAAGTATCGGATGTCCAATGAAGCAAAATCACTAGGTGTGAAATAATTTGACAGCATTCCAAAAGTGTAATCTGCAATTTATTACAAAAAGAAATAAGGTCATGTCTATCATAAGCCAACATTAAAATTACTCTCTCTCTGCTCAGAAACATTTTGGATTAAAGCAGTTATGATTTAACATGGACCATTTCTGAAAATACTCAGAATATTGAATTTTATCCACAAATACAAGATAAATTGGGAAGAAATGTTTGGCTAAAACATACTGTAAAACTAAGCATATTTTTTCTTACAGTATTCTGTTCTCTCCCTAAGTTTACTTTTTTTATCTTCCTGCTATTATTTGGCCATCTAGCAGTACATACTAAGTTAACATGGGGTAAATTAATTGAGAATCTAGGTTTCAGTATGATTTCCAGGTGTACACAGTTGGACATGTTTTGTCAACTGGTGTGCAAATACTGGACCTCTCTGAGGGCAAACTGAGAAGACCATGCTGGGACATTCTTTTGGAGTCTTTCTGTTAAATCATATCATACCTAGTTAGGTCCTAGTTTATATCAACTGCTGTAGTCTAGAAATATTATGCTTATAAGAAAAATAAGAGATACGAGACCTGAAGACAAGGAAATTTTGTGTGAGACCACGTTGAAGGTTGCTATATAGATTTTATTGTTCTTTGGAGAACTTTTTCTGTTTACTATCCTTTTGCATTTACACATGTTTAAATATGTGGCAAAATAATTGTTATGGATACAGATTGCCTGATAGAGATTTGTTGTAGCTTGAATGTTTTGCTTAAACTCTTGCATAGTAACTTCTGAAATATTTTTCCCCATTTTTGGGTGATTTATTGGGTATTCTTATCCCATTAACTTTTGCGTGCCATGAAATGGAAGTGCTATAATTATGAGTTAAAGCTAATTTTTTAAAATAGTTGTATACAGGTGTTCTTGCTTTAGGTATGCTTCTTGTGAAGTTTGAATTCTTCGTAGTATTTTAATTTTTTCTTTCAGGTGTCAATTTTGGTTTATAATTGCATTATGAAAAGGAAAATAAATGTTTATCTGAACTGACATCTGTCTTGCATAGGTAGGCTTGTTGGGTTTACGTGGCTTTGGCTGTATTAAAACTCATTCTCCTCATCTTAATGAAAAACACATCCTGAATTACAATGTAATGATTCTAATTATGAATGCAGTGAAATCTGGCAGGCCTTTATGATTTTAGCATAGTGAAATGTCATAGATGACAATGTTTATACACTGAATTTTATCTTCAAATCATCAGTCATCTGTTCTTCACATAATCGGTTTAACAAATCCAGAATAACTTTGCTTTAGAAGTCATTCGGAATATAGAATATTTGCTTGAGATTTCTGTGGAATGAATATAATGTTCACTGTTATGCAAATGACATGCCCATCACGTGAAATCCTGGCGTCTTAGCAGAATATGGGCAAAACGAATGAGTTGAACAGAGTATGACAGTTAAACTGGGAAATCAGACACGTGCTGCATAAATTAGAATTAAACCACAGTAATATTGCTGTGCCTGAAAAAATACTCATCTGTTAAGATTTTCCTTAAATTAAAAAGAAAGTAGACATAAACTTTTCATAAAGCTTTGGATATCATTGGCCTTTGATATAAAAATAACCATACTGACATTTTTAAATAATTAGAAAATTGGTGGCAAGATGGAACACTTGATGAGTTAAACATTTAAACATACAGCATTCTTTTGCAGACTAGGATAGGAATCAATACTGTGATGTTTCAGCCTTATTACAGAGATTGTAGGAAGAGGAAGCAAAAGTTACAGTTACTGGAATTTGGCTTGCAGGATATTTTTGTTATCAGTATAAAGCACATTTGCTGTTTAGATCATACTGACATTTGTAAACTTGAAAAAATAAAAAGTGAGCATTTATAAAAAGAAAAACTGTTCCAGACAACTATTTTTTTTCAAAAGTGAAGGATACAGTACAAGCTTCATGAATCAGTTGCAAAAACAAGAAATACAAAACTTATTTTCTCTAATGATGCTTAAACAGAGCAATATTCCAGCTTTCCGGGTGGTGTTTTCAAGGATTCAAGGATCACCTGCTTCAAGCTCAGGAGCGATGCATCCCAACAAAGAGGAAGTCAGGCAAAAATGCGAGGCGGCCTGCATGGATGAACAAGGAGCTCCTGGACAAACTCAAACACAAAAAGGAAGCCTACAGAGGGTGGAAGCAAGGACATTCCTCCCTGTAGCCTGGGAGGAATACAGAGAAATTGTCCCAGCAGCCAGGGATCAGGTTAGGAAAGCTAAAGCCCTGACAGAATTAAATCTGGCCAGGGACGTCAAGGGCAACAAGAAAAGATTCTATAGGTATGTTGGGGATAAAAGGAAGATGAGGGAAAATGTGGGCCCTCTCCGGAACGAAATGGGAGACCTGGTTACCCGGGATATGGAGAAGGCGGAGGTACTCAATGACTTTTGCCTCAGTCTTCACCGGCAAGTGCTCGAGC